AGAACGATACGAAAGTGGGTTACGTCTGGCGGTTCATATTTTGTGAATTCTCTATGAAAAGGAGACGAGATAAAACATTGCATGTTAATTCTATGAATATTCGACAAATGGGGATTCCCACATCGGGCGTAGGTAGTACCAACCTTAATAGATTCCTTGTTCGAAAAGCGCAGATTACCTTCCCTACCAAGATATAATTACACCAAAGATCTTTTCCAAACAGCTACTTTATCTCCAGCAATTACTTTTGGTTGTTATTTTATGCGTAGGCAATATATTTACCTTCAGCAATAGCATCAGCAACTACAAAAAATCATTTACATCATTGTGTTGGAAACTCCAACTTTTATCTTTTATTTTTTGTGACAGATTAAAACAACATCGGATTAACCCGACTTTTTCTCTATTTTAGTACGAAAATGTAAAATTGTTTGGGTGACAATTTTTTGGGATTTGGGTTATAATGTTTATAAAAGACGTTAAAAGGGAGACACAAAAGACCCCAAATTTCACTTTAATCCGATGTTGTTTTAATCTGCCACATTTTTTAAAGGGAACGGGTTTGATTGTTGGATCCAGGCATGACGTAGATCAGGCCAATACTAGAATCAAAGCCGTCGCTTGAATAGTGTTACGGTCGGATAGTCTGGGGTTCGGGAGAGCGATAATCTTTCGCGTAGGATGTTCTTTTCGAAACCAGATTTGGCTTCGCGCTACCGCCCTTATTACGGTAGTTGTTCACTTAAGACTGAATACTAAATGTACTCCCTATATCACTCGTAATCTAAATAAGGGTACCTGCGACTAGAATAACAACAACAATTATTCGATGAAGGGGAAATTCTATTTAAAATTTGAACAGGGCTGACTTTGATTTGGTATTTTGACTAGTCGATAAACGTCACTTGTCTCTAAATAAAACTAATTAAATTCGTCTCCAATAATTAATTACGAGTTTTTGTTCCTCCGATGTTAGTTGATCAACGGACAACTTATACGGCTTGGTAGAGCCATTTATTAGTGTGTCCGGTCAAATAATTAACATTTGACAATGAAAGAAAGTAAAGTTTCGATTTCAAAAGGGAATCGTTTATTTGGTTATTATTTCCGTGGAATGGTATTAACGACAACCAAATAACATGAACAACATATACAACATGAGTTTTCGACGATGAAATAAGGTCGGAAAAACGGAACGAATAAAAATAACTAAATAATCGCGCGCCTGACACGAAAATCAGCCTTTGCTTGACTGCGGAGGAAGATTTTACCATGCAAATTCTAGAATAATCTGCGTGAAATTCTTGAAATCTGTTTGGTTTACACATGTTATCATTTGCAGCTAAAACTACGCAAATACATAAGAAAAAGATGTCTACTTTTCATATTTTCCAATAATCAAAAATAATCAACTTGTTTCGAAAAAGTATGTTCGAAAGTGCAATAAAAAGATAAAGTATTAAAAAGGTATTTCGGTTCGGGAAAAAGAAGCCAAATCAATATCCTATCCACGAAGTATGCATTCGCCGCATCTTTTATTTGATCAAGACTTCTTTAGCACATCCTTTCCATTATCGTAAATAGGGGCGTGCAAGACAGTGCAGTGCGTCCGCCGTAAAATTATTATGTGCTCATTATTATTACGTTTAAAAATCCCTCTACGTCTGCTTTTTTTGCTAATTGAATGTAGTGAATGTGTCTTGGACGGTGAACTTCTTTGAAAGTCGACTGGCATTTCGGGGAGCAAACCTTTGAACCGGTGGGAAAGGGTTTCGAAACGAGTGAGAAGCTCTCCCATTATGTATTGCTTTGCACCTGAATCATAGCATCATTGTAGGATGTGCAAGCTCTTTTGCTAGGACAGAAATAAATCATAGTAATGTCATATCACAATTCTAATTTGGGTTAGTGCAAAGAAAATTTAATATAGTATTTAGTAATGAATTAAAAGAAATGATTAGGAAATAGGAATATTAATTAATGATAAATTGTGCAATTCACTGATCAGATAATAAATTGCTATTAATTGTAATATATTCATTCCATTGGGGATAAAAGAGTTTGCACCCAGTTTTATTTAAATAATTTAGAATTTGCATTTCCAACATTTGGATGCAATGTATTTCTAATTGCATTGTTGGATATTATTTCTGCCCAACATTTCATAACACTTTCCCTAATGCTTAGTGCATACGTGTTATTTGGTTCAATCTTCAATGCTCTGCTAAGATAAATCAGTGCATTGTCATATTGTTTTAGATCCAGATAGACAGCTTCTCTTCTACTCAGGCATATGTGTGATTGTTCAATCTCCAATGCTCTTACTCTGCTAAGATTAATCAATGCATTGTCATATTGGTTTAAACATAGATAGACAATTCCCCTTCTGTTCAATATCCATGCATCATTTGGTTCAATCTCCAATGCACAGTTTAGATTAATCAATGCATTGTCATATTGTTTTAGATCCAGGTAGACAGCTCCCCTTCTACTCAGTGCATATGTGTTATTTGGTTCAAACTCTAATACTTTGCTAAGACTAATCAATGCATTGTCATGTTGCTTTAGACATAGATAAACATCTCCCCTTCTACTCAGTGCATATGTATTATTTGATTCAATCTCCAATACTCTGTTAAGATTGATCAATGCAATGTCATATTGTTTTAGATCCAGATAGACAGCTCCCCCTCTACTCAGTGCGTATGTGTTATTTGGTTCAATCCCTAATGCCCTGTTAAGATCAATCAATGCATTGTCATATTGTTTTAGATCCAGATAGACAGCTCCCCTACTACTCAATGCATATGTGTTATTTGGTTCAATCTCCAACAATCTGTTAAGATCATTCAATTTATCATAATACATCAGTTGCTCATAAACATATTCGCAAGATGGCCGCTCACTAGGGTCTTCATTCCAACATTCTGAGTACAGATTAACATATTCTTTAGGCGTTCCAGGAAATGGTGGATCACGAGAACCCCCAAGCCTATACACAATAATATGAGCAATTTCAGTGCACCCTTCACATGGCATTTGTCCACTAGATATTTCCCATAATACTACTCCAAGGCTAAAAATATCCGTTTTTTTCCCACGTTCATATGAATTGTTCTTCAAAGATACCGGATCTTTATATGCTGGAGCGCCATACCCACGCGATTTGGACATCACTTGTCTCAGTACACTTGATAAACCGAAATTAGTTATTTTTGCAACTCCTGATTTGATTAGAATATTACCGGAAGACTAGTAAAAGTAAAATCATTGTAATCAGTTTTGATAATTATTAATGCAAGCTCATACGATATAACATGTGCGATAAATACCAAATCCTTGTGAATGATATCCAAGTCATGCAAATGTTTCAATCCATTGGTAATTTCTAAGCCTAACTTGTATTTATCTTTCCAAGTTAAATCTTTGGAGTGCTTCTCTAAGTGTTTACGCAGACTTCCACCATCAGCCAGTTCGAAGATCATATGATAACTAGCGCCATTGTCTGTTATACAGAAAGTAGATAATAATGAAAAAGAATCCTTCTATGGAATCAATGAACTATCACTTATGAACAAACCTTTGTATAGACCTAAAAAGCGAATAATGTTAGGATGATTGTTCGCTTCCTTGTGGTGTTTTAGCTAGCGGATAACATTTATTCCAATGATTAATCTAGGTGCAAGTATGAATGTAACGCAACAGAAAATGATGGGCAACCTCTTTGATAAATTGTCGATGCAAATCTTCTCCACAATCTCCATATCCATCTGAATGTAGAATTTTTACCGCAACAGTCACGCTAGAGGAATCATTGTGCCCCTCGCCTAACATCGTCTTGGTGAAATTTTCGAAACTGCTGCCCGGCCTTACTTTTGCCTTATACACCACTCCAAATCCTCCAGTACCAATATGTTTGAAGTCTAATGTTATATCATTTTCTGGGCAGCAATAGATTGAACCATTTTTAATGCTTGCCCGTAGCCATTCTTCAGATGTTTGAGACATTGTTAAGAAAGATACGGCAAGCCGCAACTCCCTTAGCACAGAAATATTGTGTGTAACATCCAATCTCCATCGAGGACCATAAACACAATATACGGAACAAATGTCGAATTATATTACGATGAGGCTTGCATATGGATCAATTTATCACTAAATATAATATTGGGTGTTGACATTAAAGTCTATTAGATATCATAGTATGATTAAGATGTGTAAGTTGACCATCATTAATATCTTTAACGTTATGATAAGGGTTAAGAGAGAATCTTCATTTTTCTTCTTCTTTTCTTTATTAAAAGAGGGATTGAGGCTAAAAATTTTTGTCATTTTATCGATATATATATATATTCTTTTCGTTCTTTTTTGTTTTTTATTGGTTTATTCGCACGAGGAAAAAAATACCGTTTAATTTTCTGACTTGAAGGCCGTCTATACTTGGCTCTTCGCTGAACAATTTTATTGACTTGTCGGTAGAACAGGACCTTCGCGATACATTTGTACGGCTTATCGTATTGATAAGGATAACAGTTGTTTTAATTCGTATTGAGATATTAAAAGACACTTTTAATGGACTATTTAATATTTATTAAATAGAATATTATTCTTGGGATGTATGCCCTCGCGTAGCTTATATCAATCATTCGACGATGACAATATTCGTTTGTGTAATGTCGGCTTGATATTTGCTTGTTGTGATGTTGTCCATATGGTTGGAGAAGAAGCTGTTGATTACCGTAGTGGTATGGCAATAGTATGGCTTTAAGACAGGTAAATTCCGTAGGACGTAATTTATTGAATTATTATTAGTTTTATTGTTGATTTAAGAGAGCACGTACTGTATTTATGTTTGGGTTCAATTTCCGTTTAGTGTAGACAGAAGTAAAGTTCGCACATATTATTAATTATTAAAAAGTCGTATTCTGATATTTCAGTGTCAGCTCGGCTTAGAAGACTTGAATGAGATGCTTGTCACTTACCAAATTATACCAACCTTCTTATATATAATCCGGGAGTTTATGGTAGAACTTTTCTAGCATATTAAAAAACCTGTCATAACTCCTCAAGTCGAGAAAGACACGCACATTGTGCAAAGTTGTTTGTTGCATAGTCGAATGAGATTGTACATTCCATTTCTATCAAAAATTTTAGTAGAGTGAGACGTAGAAATTGCAATGTCAGTAATTAAGCATCTAGTTCTAACATATAAATACTTATAGAAGCACCATTGCTGGGAGGCCCAAAGCCATTGGTGAGTATAATTTATTCTTTCGTTACTCTTGTGCACATTCAATATTCCACAGTTTACAATTTTCTTCTCTTTGTCAGTCCTCACGTTGAGTTGTCTTAATGTTTTTTTTGCAGCAACAGCCTTTTATTTGCAAGTAACTTATGACTTTCAACCATTTCAAATTTTGGATCCAACTCGGTTTCTTTTTTTCTGCAATGTCCGGATATTTGTATCTTTCAGGAAGAAACGACTGGTCCAAGACCGAAAATCTGAAAGCATATTCGGTTTATCTTCAGGAAGAAACTCACTTCATCAGCTGGTAAATACATTTTACTGATCGTAATTTCTTCCTAATTAACGACCCGTATAAATAATGCCATTAGCAATGAACCAAGAATGAAGTAATTAATACTCTTAATGCAGGCCTAGCTTTTAAGAAATTCAATAATAATGAGTTTTATCAACATGCTGTGCTGACTCAAAAGCCACTACTGTCTGTTGTGAGGATTAATGTTAATTTCTGATGTAGGGAAGATGGATGGTAACACGCAGAAATAGTAACACGAGCAGCGGAATAGCTATCGCGGGGAACTTTTATTCACAACGAGGTGCTCGCTAAAGCCCAAGCAGCGGAATAGCAAACTGAAAATAAAAGTAGATCAATTAGTCCTTTCGAAAGATATATTTTAGTTAGATTCAGTGTTCTTCAGTCAGTCCTGTTCAAAATGTTCTCGATTCCTTTAAATATTTCTAATAAACGAGTAGTTCTTTATACTTTGAAATACATTCCTGGTAAATTATCGGTATAGTGCAGGCAGAAATCGCTAATCCCTATATCGACAAAGGATATTTGCCTCTTGTCCCGCGATTATTCGAGTGGCAAATACATTATTGTTATAAATGAAATATTAGTGTATCCACGATAGTAATCGAGAGAGTGACTCGAGGACAATTAATTTATCTAGGATTAGTGTTAGTGTCACTCATCGACACTGTGAGTCGTAAGTTCAAAAGCCTCAGTGTTTGGAAGTCACTAATTGCGTTCGAAAATAGCTAAATTCCAAGTGCCGATTATTAACCGCTCTCCCGTGATAGTTAGCACGCACTGTAAACGGCCAATTAAAAAAATCTAAAAAAAATTGAACGAAGTAGGAAACCGAGGCCAAGAAAGATTAAAATCAACTCAGAAAAAAATAGATGAGTTACTATACAAGTAGTAATAATTTTGGTATCGTTTTGAATGTGTTTGTCGAAAATAATAATGATATATTATCGCAGTGGCAGTATCTATACACATGATTTCATATACAGTGTGTAACGAAAATAATTGCCTTCGGACAATCGAAATTATTTTGTAAATAAACAAAGCGATGCGTTGTTTATCGTAAACGCGTCTTTATTTTTAATTAGTTACCATTTCAGTGAACGTGTTTTAAAGATATAAATTTCAGAACAACCCATTGTTTACTCTCCCGCCCTTTTACAATCATGGTCAACTCTAGACTAGAGGCACAGCGACAAACAATTCTCCATTACTGGCTTAGCGGCGTCCAATCCGCAAGAGATACATCAAAAACTAACATTCCTCTTCGTACTGTCACCTATAACCTTCAAAAAATTCAAGATACGAAAACCGTTGAGCACAGAAAGGGAATGGACGTCCTTCGAATGTTACACAAAGTGTCGCTCGCGCCGTTGGACAATACGTGCATAGGAACTCTGCTGTCTCAACACGGCAACTTGCATTAAAGGTACAAAAAACACAAGAAATTTCAATTTCACATGCTGCTATTTGGTGGCATATGAAAAAAAAAAAAAATTACAAAAGCTCCGTACCTATTGGAACGCCGATGCTCACTGACCGGCATATTGAGATACGGAAGATATGGGCAGAGGTGCACTTACGGGACAATTAGTGCCGAACAATATTCACTGATGAGACAGCATTTGACCTCTTCCGAAATAAGATCCGTCGGTGGCATAAAGATGGCGAAAACCCCATACGGCGGTTGCCAAAATCGCGACAAAAAGTGATAGCATGGGGGGGGGGGTATTTCGCGAAAGGGCAAAACGCCTTTGTTCTGCTTTACAAACACAATGGATGGCCCTTTCTACGTAAACATATTACGGACTCAGCTTTGCCAGCCACCCAAAGAATGTATGGCAGGAACTGGCGTTTACAACAAGACAATGATCCAAAGCACACATCACGTGTCGCTAAGGAATTCATTGCTGAAAATGGGATTCGAGTTATAGACTGGCCATCCAATAGCCCAGACTTGAATCCCATTGAAAACATGTGGCAGATGATAGAAAAACGTATGCCAAAAAATATTGAGGAATTGAAAAAGTTTATGGGATGCGATCTCGGATGAGACAGTGAATAATTTGGTGCTATCAATGGACAATAGGTGTAAACTTGTTTTGAAGGAAAATGGTGATAGAATTTCATACTGAAAATTTTATGAGTAATAAAAGAGATGATAAGCTTTCTGGCAAATCTGAAATTGTTCAATTATTTTACGTAATTGTTGAGTTACACCATTTTTTCTGAAGGCAATTATTTTCGTTACACTCTGTATTTCATACTTTTGTTTCAGTTCGTCAATTATCACAATATTTGTAATAATCATCCCACATACCTGCCCGCATATACTGTTATATATTAGACGTTATTCGGGCAAGTACACAGTTTATTATTTCTCGCTCTTAAGTTAATCTGTAAACAATAAGTCGTTACTCTATCTATAAATATCACCTTTACGAGACTAACAACCCGATTTTGTGAGAACCAACAGTTGCAGCCCATAGATGTAAACAAGAGGACGTATCCGCTAGATTCACTAGAAGTTTGAATAAGCTAAAAAGATTAGTAATAGTAGATGTCAGTCAAGCAGTTATACAGAGTCTAGAAAGAAAGAAAAAAAGAAATTTTTAATAGATACTACAACTGCGGAAACACAGTAAAAATTCATTGGCTAAACTGAGGAAGCCAACACTACAAATCACAACAAATACTTTAATATAAAATATGCTATACACTTAATAAATGATATCTAATCCTTTTCACGTCCTCTATTAATCCCCAATATTTTGCACGCGTTATTTCACGTTGATTCCCTTCTTCATCTGCGCCATACGGCTCTTCAGATTCTTGTACGGATCGGGTCCTCTCTTCCTAGCAGGCCTTCGCTGAGAAGACGGTGCAAAGGTAACGGTTCCATCCGCCGTTGGCATTTCCCCATTGTCAGGTCGATAATATACAATCTTCTTGTCTCTATAATCAAGGCTCTTGCCAAATATTGGCGCACTCCATTTGGCAACTAGTCTTGCTGCTCGTTTCGTTATATCTGCATCGTTGCGAGGATGCTCTTCATAGAAATGCACTATTTTACCAATACCCGACTGGCGTAAAAGATCAATCGACATTGGAACCTAACAGTTATCAAGTCGAGGGAATAAGTATGCAGTGATAAGCATATATTTTACTATATGATGACCAAAAAGCATATCATATTACCCGTTCCAGAACTTCAAATAGGCCTCTTTGAATAGCAATATTGGGCAGGGATGCATCAGGCAAAGGTTCCAGCCATGCTCTTATTGACTCCAATATGTTGTTTTCCAATAGCGTATCTAACATGTTAGCCTTCTTAAGAACCCATGTTACATATTCCACACGCTCGAGTTTCTTAACTGCTGGTTTTCTTTGGTTGTTTAGTGCAATATCCCGGTCAGCAGCAGCTATCATTAGAGCATATAGTTCTTGAGCTTCGTCATCGCGGGTGGCCTCCAAGTCCTGAATAAATATTTATTCGACGGTAAGCATATGTAGCTTACATGCATCGTATACGAAAATAGCACAATTCGGAAGACATACAATGTCTTTACGTTTCCTACGTCTACCCGATGATGCCTTCAGCGCCTCATCAAAATCCTTGTCCACTCTTCGTTTGATCTCTTAAAATGGACAATAACAGAGGGAATTAATCTCATCGCATCCAAGAATTGGTACGGTATGTATAAAATCAGCATTTATAAACTACCTTCATATGGTGTTAGTTTTTCCTCATGCACTACTTTCACAATCTCATCATCCTCTGTGATGATTTCGTCAAACCTTCGGCGACGCTTCTTGGGTCTTGGACGTTGCACGGTCTCGGCATAATCAGGATCAGCGTTTCGACTAGTGTCAGTGCGTTTCTTGAACTTTGGAAGCCTTATCTTTAGTCTTTTCAGCGAGTCTTCTACTTCCGACTCGGGGGAAGATGCCTGTAATGGTGTTCCATTTTGGACCTCTGCGTATAGATGCAAGGGTTTTAGTTTATTTAAAATACAAACAAGCACAATAAGCGAATAACTTACCGTCTTCACTAAAATCGACCTCCCCCAAATCACTAAGGTCATCGTCATCACTTTCACCAAATACTTGTTTGTGAAGCTCAGATGATTCAAGTGACATGGTATTTGGTTATATGGGAGTGTGTTGTAGCTGCAATGTTATTTGAACCTTCTTCCGCATATTTTTAATGGTTGCACACGGTTTTGTTCCAAACGATGTGACTGCAGAGGCAAGTGACATATTAGTAGTCACTATCACATGGTCAATAATAATTGGAAACTGTGCATAATAATAATAATAATAATAATGTTTATAACGATAGTCTCATTAAATCGTGCTGCCTATGACGATAAATTCTAATAAATCTTTTTACAGTCTTTGGATAAATGATGACCATCTGATTGTTAATCTCGTTATGTAAAGTTTGACGACGCGGACGTCACGTTGTAATGGCTCGAATGCCGATGCAAAAAAGCTATCATCACGATCATAATAGCTCGCAAGCGTAGTCCAATCATCATCCGCTGACGCAAACTCCTTGACAACGCAACCCAACTCAACATAATCGTATTTGCGTAATTATAAACGCTATTTCCATCTGACGAGTTGCGTGCTCTATAAGTGTATTGCGAACTAGTACTAGTGTACCAATTAAACTCATGTAAGCCAACTTGTGT